ATGCCTTTGATACTGTATGAACAGAGAGAGGGACCCAGTTGGTGTGGATCTCTAATGGACCCTCCAGTGGCTCTCACATTGATAACTTTCTCTGTGAAGACAGGCTCCGCGTGCGCCGTCATACAAAAGGCAATCTAACACAAGTGGAAGAAAAACTCCAAAAAAATTAGAGTTGATTTATATTATTGGATGCTACCAAGGCTGCCCAACACCTGATGACCAGAATCCAACTGGAATACTAATTATGCTAATATAAACAATTACTTCAGGAGCCCTCCTAGTGGGTGTTAACGTTTCAGTCAAAATTTATACGCTTGGGTCATATCAACTCTTCTATCCTTGAGGAGGCTCTCTGAATAACTTACAAGTTTAGATTTCAGGAGTTATTTGCAGTGTTTCGGGTATCCAGGTTGTATTTGTTCGTCATTAGCTAGTGTTTGGTTTGGCAGCCGGATTTAAGAGACAGTCTCTAAATCCTCAGCAGGCGATGAAGGGTCTGCGCTCGCTGCGGCCTCTCCGGGTGCCAAGTACTTGTCCAGTGTAACAGGTTCTGTACCCCTCTTCAGGCGCCCCCCAACCGCGTCCACCATACCTCCTCACACAGCACTCCTGTGAGCTGCAGAGGGGGAAGCAGCGCCGGCGAAGAGCGCTGTTGACATTCTCTGAAATTGCCTGAAAGCATTTTTTTTCTCTAGGAGCTGGAAGAGGAAGGCTTCAACTGTTAGATGGTGTGAAAAGAGCTGAAGACAGACACCATGTAGGAGAAAAACACCAAAAAAAAAGGAAAGAGACATAATTTTATGTGGTATACATTAAAAGTACTGTCAAGGTTAGAAAACGGAAAACAAAAATGCATCTGTTTATGTCACATTGTTACAGATCCCAAAATGTATTGTTGTCCCTTTAATCGAACACATAAAACCACCAACCTTTAATCAGAAACTAGCATGTTTTAGAGGGGTTGAACATCAATGAGATTAACTAAGAATTTCAAAAAAATATGCAAAAACAACAGAAAAAAATAACCTTACTATATTCTGTAGATTACAAACCACATCTTAGCATATTTAGTTTTATGTTTAGCATAAAAGTTTAGCATGTGGGTTTTAGAAATCTAACCTGAAGTCCCAGCTTTTGTTGTGCATGAATAACCTTAAACAAGCACATTCATTAGTAGATCTAATGTTTTTGAAGAACTTTTATAATTATTGATGCAACTTTCTCAGACTTATATGCAGTGGTGGGCACCGCTAACTAAAATGTTAATTCTCCTGACCCTAGAAGATAATCATAAATTTGAGCTTACACAATATTCAGAAGATGCTAATGCTAAAGTAATAAAAAACTAACTTAAATGTTGAGCAGGTCTTGACAGACTACAACCCTCCATCACCAATTTAATTTTGACTGTATAATTTACATGTTTTATTTTGCACTTAGGTATTGCATTTATATATCTTATTCTCTGCTGTCCCCCTTCAAAATAAGAGCATGAATATTAATGTCTAACAACTTAAGGATTTTTTTTAACAGTCGATAAACAAAACATCAGCACAGATGTTGAGCTTTAACCAGCTAAAAGTCTTCAAAACAGTCAAATAAATTAGCGTTTTAGAATTCATTTTGGAGAAACTAACTGCTAAGCAAAAGATTTGTTCCTCTATCAGTTGATTAGCAGAATTGTGGCGATCACTACTTCTATAAAATGACGACTCTGTTTAAAGGTGAATACTATGGCAACAGAAACTTTCAGGTCTTTTTCCTTTACAGAAAAGGATGATTTTCCCTCAAAGGCCAGTGTTTGGTGGTTGCTCTGTCTGCCTGTGGGCACAATAATCTGGCTTTGTGGGGAAGGGTGTATAAAATATGTATCCCTTATGCTTCAAAACTACCAGCATGAACTAAAGGCTGTGTCCTAACCAACAGAGTTTTTTCTTTTACTTATGCTGGTCGAGAGTCTTCTGCAAACAGTGAAGGGCTGGGTTTGCAGCTTAAGCTGAGAAGAACCCCCAGATCCCACCTATCATGTTCACCTCACTTTTAGACTTAGGTGAAAAAAATATTTTGTCAGACCATTTCTAATTATAACTTTGGAGGTCATGGGTTTTCTTGGAAAGGCTTTTCAAGGTCAAGGTGTGTGTTTATAGGGATATTTTATCTTTCTTCCAGAAATGCATTTGTGAGGTCAGACACTAATGTTGGTTTGAGATCAGAACTCTACTCACCATCCAAGTTCTTATACACCAAATCTGTTCATGTCTTTATGGATCTTGCTTTGTTCAGTGATGCTCAGTCGGGTTGGATCATCCAAACTGTTCCCACAAAGTGCATAAAATCGCCTGAAGTTTCTTGGTGTGCTTTTCACTGGAGCTGGAGCTAATGGGAGGAGCCTGTCTTCTGACAAACAACTTTTCACCATAATCCAATCAGCACCAGACTTTACACTTCAGTTCATTCTGCCAAGCGATGCCGTCTTGTCAGCTACCAACACAGATTGCCAGACGGAGAAGTTCATAACTCCAGAGAGCATGTCTTCAGAGCTCTGGAGTCCAGTGATGTTTCAAGCTTAGCTTTGCACCTAGTGATGTAAGGCTTTGAGGCAACTGCTTGGCCATTAAAACCTCTTCCACAAAGCTCTCTTGAGGTAATCCGAGGGTCATTTGAAGTTTGAAAGTCTTCAGCTATTAACTCTCCTTACTGTGCATTCAATGACACAGAAGAGTGATTTTCTGGGGTCTACCACTTTACGGCTGAGTTGCTGTCATTTCCTATCACTTCCAGTTTGTTGCAATACCACTAACAGTGGAACAGGGGAATATTTAATCAGAAATTGTTCCAACTCCTCACAATACCATACTGGAATTTGCTGAGCCATCACAGATGCTTTTCAAACCAGCATGCATGCATCAGTACTCTAGTTCTGTATATTGGTGACCATGGAAGTAATTGGATTACCTGACAGGTGCACAAAAGAACCCTGCAAATATTGAGTTGTTTGCTAAAATGACACGAACAAAACAAAGTTATAATATATCATATGGAATTTTTCAGCTGTTTGTCTCTTCAAATAACCTATTATATGGACTCAAGTGCAGAAAATGATTAGTTTCGTAGTGTGTCTCCCTTTAATACCAGTTTTCTGTCAGCATGAATGCTCTGCCATTGGTCTCTTTTCTTCTTTTACTCCCTTAATTGCCTCTGTGCCTTTCTGTGTTGTTATTTCAAATGCGGTGGCTCAATCTCTTGTGAATATATCAAAACTGCATTATTACCTGGGTCAAGCCACGAGGTGCAGCTTAAACGATAAGCATGCAAATGAAGTGATGTTTTATTCCACAGCGCCTATAATGTCTGGTGCTTGGAGGACCCCAGGACACCTACAGCGTAACATCAATTACTCACAGAAAACGCAGATGATTGAACAGGTAGGTGGCAACAGAAGATGTTGAGTGAAATGGATGATGAGCGGACGTGATGATTTTAAAGATTACAAAAGTGGGAATATTGGAGAAAAATTGGTAGCTGGCATGATAGACCTGTTTATTTACTTGTGCTGAGAAATATGTAAGAAGGATGGAGCCAATTCTAAAGACACTAAAAGCACTGAATGGTGCACAATGAATGAAGACCCTGCTGCAATGTAAAAAGGAGCATGGATGAACTTTACAGAGTTTCGGTGAGGGATGTACTAACAATGTTTGAGTCACGGTGTGTGAGAGTTCCTGAGGGTTTTAGCAGACACAAAGGTTATGCATAGAGCTTGGAGGATTGTTGTTGTGACTTATCCATGACATAAGGCCCATGCATATCAATGTAGCTGGCATTGCTTCAAGCAAAATCCTGCAACGGTCTTGGCAGAGTGATTTTTATGCCCTCTCTTGCTCCAACCAAGAGGATCGTGCCATGCTCTGATCACACTGTCATGCTCTCCAGGGGGTAATGGATACTCTGCAGTGCTCAAACGACATTCAACTGCTATTTTGGGCAAAAGGTACGAAGCTGCACCAACTGGATGAGGGAGAAATAAAATTGCAGAAAACTCTGTCATCTCCATCCTGTCATACTGCTGATTATTTGATTATCACAGTATGATAATTCATAAGATACTGATGATGCCATTATGACAGAAAATATTGATGTTTATTATTCTCCAGAGCATGGCTGAAACTGATAGTGAAGGCGTAGAAACCTCCATTTTAATAGATGTAAACTGTGCAGCCTATGCTAAGGGAAACAGATGGCGTGAAACTGATACACGTCATTGAAGAAGCCAGTTATCACAAACACTTCATCATGGTTGTGATGGGAAAGTTATCAAGTTCATGAGGCAAATTATTCTTATGTTATAAATAGCCAGGTTATAAAATAAGATTAGAATAAAAATAACTGTGTTTTAGATCTATTTTGGTTTAAAGAAATTAAGAACATGAAATATGTAAGTGGGATATAAAGGTAAGAACAGAAGCAATCATAGCACATGGGAATTGTAGTGTGTAGCAAGTGTAAAAAAGCTTTAAGATGATACAAATGAAAATACAGTATACTTCGAGATGGGAGTCTTTCCTGACTAAATAGCTTTATAAGACTTTCCACAGATTATCTGTTATATCCAATTCAGAAAAACTCATTGGCAGTGACTGTAAGCAGAATGAAGCAGCAGGGGGCAGATTGCCGGTGCATACACTGTACTGTACAGTGATGGTAACAGATTAGCATAATTTCTTTCACATTAAGCAGTAATTTTAAATTCATTGTAGCCTGCTAATGGTAGAGATTAAAATGCTTAAGACTTCATGGTAATGAAAAATAACTATGGTGACATAATCAGTTGTGTAGAGGGATGAAAACAAACTGTTATAAGTAATAAAAAACACTAAGTATAAAAATATGCACCCCGACATTATTTTTATATTTCTATCCTTAATTTATTGTAATAAGTTCATTCGTGTTATTTTAGTTATTCAGTGCAATTCCATATACAACAACTAGGGGACGCCAGTCGCATTGGTGCCATAGAGAAGGTTGGGCACACAGAAGAAGAATGTTAGACGCTAAAGGATGCTAAACTTGTGTCTCGTCTTTTTTGTATCACAGGTCAGTAAAAATGTACTTTGGTGCATAAATGTTGGTATCCTTTAAGAGTTGAAGAGGTTATTGAATCGAGAGTCAACCAGTGAGACACTTTAGGCAGCTTTTGATTAGTATTGTGTAGAAAACGGGACATATTTCTGGAGGCTAATTAATGCTAATGCGAGCATTAATGTACATATTTGTACATATGTGTTGAACTAGCTGAGAAACAGTTGAAGGACTATTGAATTCACTTTGAACTTATTGTATTTTTCACTTTTTGAAACGGTAAAAGACATTTTTCTGGTGTCTTTTCTTTATGGGTTATTGCAAAAACCACAGAAACAATGTTATCAAACTCAATGAGTAAATGGCTGCGTAAAGGGTCAGTATTAAAGGAGCAGTTTTGTAGTTTTTTGTGCAAGATGAAATACGGTAATTTTGTTAAAACAATGGATACAGTTAAAGGCTACATTGCTTCAATACTAAAGTATATATTTGTGCAGATTAAAAATTGCAAAAGCTATTAAAATAGTTAAAAGCAAATCCATATATTTCTATTTTGATAGTCAATAATACAAAAGGTCTGAGAAAAAGGGACAAGATATTTGAGTTAAAACAAAACTAATGTGGTTTGGAGAATTAAAAGCTAAGATATTTTGTCATTCAAGAAAATTCATAATGTAGCATGTTAAAATAATTCTCATTTGATATAAAGGGATATTACAGCCATTTGTGCTGTACTGGATCTAGAGGTTATCTGTTGAAGTTATTCAGTGATACCTGAAGTATTTGATATGAAGTATTGCATATGTAGTGTTGTAAATGGAGTACAGTCATTACACAGAATAATAAACCTTCCTGTTAGATGCTAAAGGTAGCTCAACATTTGTCTCATCTTTTCCATGTGACAACGTCACATGTTGAGAGAACAAAATACAACATTACTATTTCATTCTAGAGTGGATTTGATTAAAGTTTGCCTTAATCAAACTAGTTCGTTTTCAAAGTCTGGTTTGTTAATGGAGTTGTGAATGCATAATGCAGAAAAAAAAAAGTGAACTTTGGTCTGCATACAAACCTCGGCCTCGGTTCGTTTGAAATGAACTCTGGTGTGGTTACAAACGCAGGAAGTGGACTATAGTTCAAGGCATTCTGGGTAAATACAACCAGAACAAACCCGAGAGTCTAGCGCTAGCAAGAGAAATGATTTGTGATCTTTTACCAAAGACAAAAGAAAAACTCTAAAACTGCTAAAATCTTTTTGTTTTCATTTTGTGAAAATGGAAGGTACACTCATGTCTTCTGAGGTTTTTGTGTTTTGTAGCAGTTCTTGGTACAGCGCCTCAGCAGGCGAGGAGGCGAACAGCTTTTCCAATTAGCTTGGATCATTTGACACATTGCAATATGAAAATGAACCACAAGAGCTTAAATAGTAACACATATTCAAACTGAGTCTACTGGACTCTGGTATGAAAACACACTTAGTAGGTGGGTACTGTGATCAGAGAGCATTGATGTTCACAAGTCCTGGTCAAATCAGAGGGTTTGATGAAGTGTTTGTACAAAGCTATATTTCTTAAAAGCACAACGAGCTCGTCTGATTGTTAGCTTGCTTTGTGGAAGCTGCTGAAGTCCAGAGGACAGGCAGCAGAGACAGATGAAAGTACAGAACATAGGAAACTTTCCCCAAACAGACCAACTACATGTGAGGAAGAAGAAGTGTTTTTTCACAACTGTCCTTTTCATCTCTCGCACTTTCTCATCTCTTACTCTTTCTGCTCTCTCTTTCTCTTCATCTCACTCCAGGGAAGATGAAAGCGAGTTCTGCCACTGGCTGTGAACTCCCCTGGACATGAACATACTACTGCTTTTGTGTGTTTGTGTGTGCTTTGGCTCATGCAGCTCAGATAACTTTTTGTTGTTTCCACTTGTAACCAGAAATTGGAAACAGTAGTTATTCTATGCAGGACATGTATTTGATGCAACTACTGGCATATTCTCAGTGGAGATATTTTTTTCTTCTCATCTATGAATATTCTAGTTTAATCAAATCAAACCAGTTTTTCTTTCTCATTAGATCATAAACCAGGTAGTTTGTTTTGCTTTAGAGTAATTTTTATTCAGATTAGTGTCATATAAAGTGAAACATTTTCATCCTTTTCACAACCTTACAGGGTTTAGAATCATCATCTGTAAGGATTACAACACTGGAGTTTTATCTGCTGCGCTTCAGTTCCTACCGTCAATCTCGCCCCAAGCTATGCTGACGACACTTCGACTCCTGAGGAAAAACCACTAAAGATTTTACACAGATCCAAAGGCGGATTCAAGTGAAGCAACAGTCCTTTAACTTAGGTACGTACTCTCAATATGAACAACTTTTTAGTTGAAGAATGAATATTTCTGGGGCACTGTGAGTTTTGAAACCATCTTTTTCACCTTAATTTTGGACCTAATCATTGTCATTTTACATAACTTTATTAGTTTTGGACTTTTGACCTGTATTACATTATGAACAACACTGATACTCATTAAAAATTACGCTACATTACAGCATCTTGGTTCTACTTTTTCAGTTTTACGGTTTTCAAAGCTGACTTTACTAACCTAATTGGAAAAATGGGTATACGTATATATGTATTTATATGTATATGTGAACAAAATCACATGTGGAGTTCCTCAAGGTTCCATTCTCAAGCAACTCCTTTGGCAGTATCTATGACTCAGTTTATGCTTTATTGATGTTGTCTTTCACTATCTCTGTGTGCTTACATTGACAGCACAACACTTTATGGTTCTTGTTATCACTTTGGCAGCATTTCTTTCCCTTTGATTTGGCACAGACTTCCAGAAAATGCTGAATCGAGGCTAGAAGCTCACTTTAGAGTTGCCTTTGACTGTTTATTGTAAAACTTCCTTAAACATCTTTAATTTTATTCTCTCATCCAATTTTACTTCGCTTTCCTGTATTATACCACTTTGAATATGAATAAACTTGCATCATCTTTGTGATAAACAGAAGCCATTATTTGTTTTGTGTTGATAACGTTGGAGATCAACACTTAACGACTCGGTGAAGTTAAAACTCCAGAAATGTAAAGATGGACTCACTCAAATATATTATTTATATTATTAGTTTGATTTTCTTACAGATGTCAGTAAAAACCACAAACAGTAAGCAGCTGCAGCTCATCCTAAATATTGTGTTTAGATCTGACTTATTTATTTAAATATAAATCTGCATTTCCATACAACTTTTCACAAAATGTCTGCATTATAATATAATTTCTGTAACAACGCTGTAATAATAGATGCTGTTGATATAAACCTGCCTTGGTTTTGAATTTCATTTCCAATTTTTATTTCGGATCCAGTCATGGTGAGCAATCATTCAGTAGTTGTTCGTTTTTTAAATTGGCCTGTGTGTAATCTGAATGTCAAAAGCTTTCAATATACTTTTTGTAAAAGTCTTGAGAGGTTTCTTTTTTTTTAATCCCTGGAAGCAACATTAAATTCAATATTGAAAAAATTGAAAGAATATGGCACCACCACCACTCTGCCAAGAGAGAGTAGACCACCCAAACTCACAGAGCAGGAAAGGAGGGCCACAGGCCAAAGATAACCCTGAGGGAGCCGCAGAGCCCCACAGCAGAGATCAGCGCGTCGGTCCACTGAACCACTGCACAGCGACGGTCCAAAAAGCTGGACTTCATGGTGGAACGGCCAGAGAAAAAAAGGCTTGGCTGAGGAACACTGATGGTATCGAATATTGGTGGCGTTGCTTTTACGCTTGGTGGGCGTGTGATATTACAAGCTGCATGGACCCTAGTGAAAACCAGATTTACTGGTTTAAATGTTGTAAAGCAAGTCTCTCTTTTCTTTTTTTTAAAGTTGCATGATGGATGTCAAATAATGCAATGCTGAATCAAGGCCAACTGTTTAAAAAAAGCATCTGAGCATGTTTTATAGTAAAAACAAATCAGACTGATACAAAACTTAGAAAATGCATCTCAGATACACACAAACGTTGTAGTCCAATAAACTAACAAACTGCTGAAATAGATAACAGTCCAAAAAAAGTTGGATATTTGGAATTAGCTCCTTTACAAAATTACAAGTAATAAAAACATAAAACATGAGACAATCAAACCAGCTACTAAAGTCTACTTGCATTTAGGCCAGGACAATATGGCTGAAAAACTTGTATATGCACTTCATATCAGTCAATATCAATAATTATTGATTTTTTGCTTTAAATATCTGCAATACCACCAAACTGGTAATTCAGATAACTGCTTATTTTTAAGCAGTTATGAGGCGAAACCTTGAACTGCTGCTGCCCAAGTTACTCAGCAGGTTGTTGCTAGGTAACCAAAGTTTGGGGGAGGGACTTGAAGCTGCTTGTTGCCCAGAAACATGTTGCTAGGTAACCAAAGAGTGAGCGAGTTATTTGATTCCTTTCAGTTGGCTTTGCTGGATGTGAGAGTAGGCCTGTCGCGATAAACGATAAATCAATTAATCGCATGATAAACCTATCGACCTCATTTTAATTATCGGCTTTATCGTCTCTTCCTGCCTTTTTTCTTTCTGTTGATGACACTGAATGAAAAAAGGCTCAACTCCGGTGAGCCTTTACACTAAGGACATTTCCTTAGTGTAATGTCCAGCTCACACTACACGAGTTGTCGGCTGACTGTCAGCCCATTTTCAAAACCTGAGAGACGCATTAACCGACAGAAATCCTAGGTAACGGTTCAGTCGGGTTCGTCGTGCCGTGTGGTGTCCAGCCACATGGGCACAAAATAATGGTTACAAGTCCAGTTAACTAATTTTAAAATCAGGCATTAATCAATGCTTTACTAGAATCTACCTGTTATGCATAGAGTCAGCGTAAAGTCCTGACTGAATGAAAATTATTATAACCTATTTATGTCACGTTAACGAAGAACAGCTGAAAACTTACCGGGTTTATCAACTGCGGTAGCAACGTCGCTACCAACTCCTCCCCTTGTCATTTCTATATTCTTTGCACGAAATGTTGAATAAATATTAATGTTGTTTCCACATATCATCTCCAATGTCCGCTGGACTTCGGGTTGCGCCATGTCAGCTGTTTGGGATTCCCCTTGTAATTTCCCCTCAGAAAGCACGGAGGAGAATCCTGCTTTCTGATTGGCTACCTGTCACATTCAACAGGCTGCGTTAAGCTCCCAGTCGGGGAAAACCCCTGATTTAGATCGGAGCGGCCACGACCGACGATCTACCGTAACACACCACACACTGCAGGATGATCGGTTACGAAATCACCAGCAACAATCTTGGAACCCCCAACTTTCTAAGATTATCGTAACAAACAAAAAATCGTGTAGTGTGAACTATTGCATCAGGATGGCCCATCTTCTCTATTTAAATCTAGTGATTACTGAAGGCCAATACAGTATACAGACTTCATAATCTGCACTCTTTTGGTTGAATGCAGTATTTATTTTCACTTTGGCTTTATGTTTAGTTTTTATTCAAGTACGTTTTTTGTTAATGGAGACTGAGAATCCATTTTACTTTTTGTTTTTGGTTGTTTTAGTTTATCAGTTCCAGTGTTATGTGTTCTTTTGAAAATAAAGTGTATCTATCTATGGCAGGAAATCACATGCATTATTAGTCATTTCCATTAAATCAGTGTCAACTGGTCTTGAAACAATATTATCGTTTATCGCAATCATTTTTTAGACAATCGCTCAGCAAAATTTGTTATTGTGACAGGTTAAGTGGCTAAAGCCTTTCCTCTGCCTACATCTCCCAGAATGCTGTGCGGTTCTGGATCGGAGTTTAATAGTCTAGTAGATGTATCATCCATTGATATTAATCACGCGTTTATTGCAAAATATATTGTTGTTTTTTTGTGAGCTGTGCTTGCATTTCTGTATGTAAGTTGCAAAGCAGTAAAACCATTTTAAAAAAGCAAAAAATAGATAAAATACAGCAATAATTACAGCTAAAGGGGGGAAAATGACAGCGTGAAACCACAGTACTTGTTCCATGATGTAAATTCTGATTGAAAATGTTTAGTCCCACTATGGAAACATGATGTTTTATTTCCTTTCTGGAGCGTTTTTAAGAGTTGGGTGTGCTGAAAGTGTGGAGCTCTCTTATGTTTTTAGGCCACTGCACTGAATGTGGGTCTAGCAGATGTAAGACTTGGGTGGAGGTTCGGTGCAGCTGATGACTTCAGAATCAGAGCAAACAATGCAGCCCAGCTGCTTCTTCTGCTGAGCTGTGCAAATGTCACATACAGAAATAGAAAAGTTGAGCATGTTGCTGTGGCTGCGCTGCAGAAAGGCACTTTCTCTGCAGGTGTAGAAAATCTGTGTTGGTGGCTGTGGAGCAAACGTGAAAAATGACCAAGAATTCCTTAAAAGCCCAAAGACGATCAGCCTCTAAAAACAAACTGTCGACGATGTCACAATGTCAACCAGAACTGAAAGGTGTATCATTACCGTGCAGGTGCTCGTATCTTCAGCGTATTCCAGGTGAACTGAAATAAAATCTTGTTTTCAGAAAATTTGTTCTGCTGGTTTTGTTTTCAGTAGTTTCAAATTTTATTAACTAAAAAATGTGGTAGATAATGAAAAAACATTGAAACTATTCTTGATTGTGTATTTGATGAAAACACATATTTATTAAAAATCCAAACACACCAAACAATTGGTTTGGCAGCAAAAGGAAGAAATGCATAATTTTCCATCAGTCACAAATTACAGATGGAGTTAAATTATTCCAGGATGCCACTGTTTTTCTAGATTAACCCTGTGAAGGTAGCAATTAAGCTAAGCAGGTTTTTACAGTTTTGTGTAAAAATGCAAATGGACAGCCTTTATGCAATTTAGCCTTTAAATAGGTTTAAACTCTTAGTCACATTAAGGTTAGCAACACAAGTTTACAGCAACACAATCCCAAACCAACATGGAGCTTAGTGTCTTGCCCAACCTTGAACTTCAATACGTTGGGAAAGCAAGAATCCAACAACTTTCCGATTTGTAGACAGCTACTTTGTTGAGCTAAAGACAGTCCAGTTGCTTCTTGCTAGTTAATGTAAACATGTTTTTGATTACGAATCTAAACTTGGAACATTAGGAAGAATTCAACGTTTCAAGCTAAAACATTAATCTGGAAGACTCCTGAAGTCGGACGTCCAACTGGAAACGCACCGCGTGGTTGAAATGAGTTTTGAGTGTTTGATGCGTGTCAAGCGGCCAACGCTGGAATTGAAAAGTCTGAACTTTCACCGCTCAATGCGGAGCATCAAGAGGCTCCAACGCGCACCGTTACCAACTGTCACTGTTGTTTGTTCGATAGAA